ACATAACAACGAAAAATCAAGGATTCCATCTTAATTGAACAAAACAACCCTACTCTAAATCAACACCCCGAGATACCTCTTTTAAGTTTCACAACACTTCCGGTCATGTGACTTCTTTGTTCAATACTGTATATATATATATCCGTGTCGGTGTAAATTACTTGTACCTGATGATGACAAAACCTTGTCGAAACGTTGTACATTTGCTGTTATGTTAAACTTATATTAAAGTTTTTCTTCATTACCCATTCAAGCTGTCTCCAGCCATTATTAACCTAATATTACATCTAGCATTACTACATACACTGACGTATAAAGTTTAGCAATATCGCAGATATATCGTGGTTTCGAATATTTTATCGTAAGGGCACTTTACCGAAGTGTTAACACCAGCAACAGGTAAATGAGATTACCCTAACCTCAAGCCAAGATTACGGTTTGTGAACGTTTGGTACTTCAGGGCACATACACGATACGAAAATATTACATCATCTGAAATTGCTATGTACTACTTTCGTTTCACAAAAAGTTTCCTCTGTTAAATGTATTTGTATAGAAACTCGTTTTTGGAGTAAATAATTTATATGGAGCAAGTTACACATTTTCATTTATCAATGGGAAAGATATATTATAAGATATCTCGTTTGTTGCGAGGTAAAAATAAAGGTCGTGTTGTTAAGTAAAATAGTGTAAATAATGTAGTTAAATACATGTAAAGAAAACGATGTTTATAAATACACGCGTCATTACAGACAACGATCAATTTATACACAGACACACACACACACACACATATTTATATGTCTTTCACATAAAAAAACGTATCTTAAAATATATAAGCTAATATTTAATATAATTTCCCTAAGTTTTTCATCAGACTTAGATATGTTCGTGGAAGAGTGTTATTCGTAATGTAATATTTGCGAAATGTGAATGTGTATTCTGCCTAAACCAGTAGTTTATTTAACCAGTAGTTTATATGACCAGTAGTTTTATTATTTGCATCAATGGGATCAATCTAATACTGACATATATATATTTTTTGAGGGACACAAGTCCTGATACTTTATTTAAACTCTTCGACCCCTAGTGGATAAGACAGCTAAATTGTTGATGTGTTTTATAATAGAACAATATACATATTTGTTAATTAAGGACATCCTAGTTAATTTTTAATTCATATAAGACGTCTTCTTTGTACAGGGAGAAGCCGGTCCTTGAATACTTCTCCACATGTATTAGATCCCCCTGCCGAGTCATCAGTTCCTGAAAATCTGATTACTTTACCGGAGATGCCATCTGTTCATTCACGGACAGCACCTGCTGACAGTCGGGAGGAGGATGACGAGATGATCATTAGCACCGGATCGCGAGACGACAAGAACAAGAAGAATCGGAGAAAGAAGAAGACAAGGACGGTGTTCACGCGAAGCCAGGTGTTCCAGCTAGAGTCGACCTTCGATCTGAAGAGATATCTTTCCAGCTCTGAACGGGCAGGATTGGCAGCTTGCCTTCATCTCACTGAGACCCAGGTGAAGATATGGTTCCAGAACAGGAGGAATAAGTGGAAGCGGCAGCTGGCCGCCGAGCTGGAAGCCGCTAACATGGCGCGAGCCGCTGCGGCTGCCCAGAGAGTTGTCCGAGTGCCGATCCTGTATCACGATAGCGGCACGTCCGTCAATGGTTCTCATTCTCCCGACACAACCACCTTACCACCTGGCCCACCAGTAAGCCTGGCCACCTGCACTCCTTTGTATTACCACCCTTCTTATAACCATAGTCAACATGTTATGCGCCCTCTGTCATCATTGGTGTGAGTTGCAACTTACAATTTCTTATAAATTTCGCTAAAGGCACTAATTATATCAAAGAGTCAGGAGAGAGACAATTATGGAATTGAAAATCAACCGAAAGACTAGCGGAAGCAAGTTAGAAATAAAACCTTTTGATTTACAATGTTATTTCGGAAGGAGAGAACAAATTATGACAATATTCCATAAGTATTTCGCTAGTTGTTCAGGTATGTCGGTCGATGTAACAACTATTTTATGTGCTATCAAAATATCGAGGAATATTCCATTATATTGTCACGGTGTTTGTATAAAACTTTTGAAACCTGATGGCTTTGTTGTGAAAATGTTTTTCGCACCGTGAGTCTTTATTTCCCTACTGACAGTGCTAAGATATTGTTTGTGAAAAAACTGTTTAAACTAGGCCTAAGTGTACCAAAATATAAATATATAAAATAAATCAACAAAATGGCCTAGTATAATTAGTTGTTTTTAGAATATAAGGATACTATCATGTACTAGTCAAGTAAAATAAATAACTTATGGTACTCAGTGGGTCAAAGTACGGTTGTATAAAATTATTCACAAGCGAATATTTTAATCTACAGTCATTTCACTCTGCTTACTGTATGAAACGTATTTCACTAACCAGTTGTTCAGATAGTAGCCTATGAAAACAATGAAATAAGTAGAAGATTTATCGCAAACAAAGAATAAAATCATCTAGTTAATTTGGTTACTCTTCTCGCCGAGCATAACGTAGTACTACAAATGAATTTTCTTACAGAATTATAGTAAACATTTGTTTTAGAAGATAATATATATATATTTTATTGAAATAAGTATAAAAAATATACTCTTTCAAATTATGAATGAAAACAAAAAACAAACTACTTGTTAACTAAATGCATAATATACGTATGTTATCAAAGTTAGTTTGTTTAAGTAAATTATGTTCGCAAAGTAAGACCACTCGAACAAATTAAGTTATTAAGTCAGTTAAGCACATTATTTAACTACTCAGGCCAACAGTTAGTTTATTATCTAAGTCAGGTAATTTAAACATATTGAGTTATCAAAATCAGGACGATTAATCGCGTGAAGTTATCAAAGTCAGATCTGTTAAGTATTTTAAATAATCGAAATTAGGCTTATTAAACATATTAAATTAACAAAGTAAAACTATTTACATATTTGAAGTTATGAAAACCAGATCGTAATGCGTAGTAAGTTATCAAGTTTAGCATATCACTATAAACTATACATTATTCTGCTGCTGCCTTCGATGGTTTAATAATTTTGAAATGTTTGGAGTTTATTCATTGGTTTGATAAATAAACATTTCATTGATTACGTAGTAGCTCAATGACTGGTGTTCACTGTGTTTCAGTCGTGATTAGCATAAATAAATTTAACAGTTCTCTCCACTGAGAGATGAAATTTTCTGTTTTAATACAAATAGCATAACAACCAGAATATTGAACCTTCGTGCTATAAATTGGGCGCGATAATGTTACTAGTTACTTGTTTCCCTAACTAGACTGTACACTAATTATTTGGCCCCCTGATCAGACTGGACACTAATTACTTGGCTTCTTGACCAGACTGCACATTAATAACTTGGTTCCCTGAACAGTCTGTACACTAATTAATTGGCTTCTTGACCAGACTGCACATTAGTAACTTGGTTCCCTGAACAGTCTGTACACTAGTTACTTGGTTCCCTGAATAGACTATACACTAGTTACTTGGCTACCTGAACAGTCTGTACACTAGTTACTTGTTTCCCTGACGAAACTGTACACTAGTTACTTGGCTACCTGAACAGTCTGTACACTAGTTACTTGTTTCCCTGAACAGACTGTACACTAGTTACTTGTTTCCCTGACCAAACTGTACACTAGTTACTTGTTTCCCTGAACAGTCTGTACACTAGTTACTTGTTTCCCTGACCAATCTGTACACTAGTTACTTGACTACCTGAACAGTCTGTACACTAGTTACTTGTTTTCCTGACCAAACTGTACACTAGTTACTTGTTTCCCTGACCAGACTGTACAATAGTTATTTGGCTACCTGAACAGACTGTACACTAGTTACTTGTTTCCCTGACCAGACTATACAATAGTTATTTGGCTACCTGAACAGACTGTACACTAATAAACCAACAGTAGAACAACAAGTTATCATTTTTAAAGTTAAGTATGTCTTCGCTATAAACAAGATCGTGGCTAATAAGGTGAACCAAACTTTTTAATACGCGGTCAGAAGAACAAAAAATCAATTTCCTTTGTTCTTTGTAATAGCTATAAATTGAAACGGGTTGTTCATTATCATTGTTTTAATATTAGTTTCCTTCATAATGGTGTCAATTTTGAGAAGATAAATGAAATTAATATTTTTAAACAAACCGGGAACAATATTCAATTAGAGAGCTTACTGTCAACTAAATACTTGGTTAAATTATTAAACTTACTGTAAGGGAAAAATAACTAAATGGTTCATCTTCGACCAAAAAACTATCATTGAGACCTGATTATATAATTTTTTGTACTGATTATATAGCACTGTAATCTTTTACAGTAAAACTATTTCATGTTAAAAAATGCATACGAGTCATAACAGGGGAGGGGCTAGCACCCCATTTCGGCCTCCCTATAAATATTTTATTCACAAGTTTATTATTTTCCCAACATGAACTGAGTTTTCGGTCCAAAATAATGATTCAGTATAAATAGATAAATAATCTAAAATGAATTCGATACTTACAGAAAACGATTCGAAAAGATTAGATAAATAGATTAAAGTAAATAATAAGTCGGTTATTGAAAACCTTATTTACATATTAATCTCGCTTGTGTATTATTTTTCGGAGGTGAATCTAGTTTGTTAGAAGCATGCGTGTTGAATAACCTTGAATACCGGATAAGGTCAAAGGTATATTTGTGGTGAAAAGTTATGTACAGAACTTAGATTAATATCACATCGAATACCGGATAAGGTCAAAGGTATATTTGTGGTGAAAAGTTATGTACAGAACTTAGATTAATATCACATTGAATACCGGATAAGGTCAAAGGTATATTTGTGGTGAAAAGTTATGTACAGAACTTAGATTAATACAACTTAAGTAACAAGATATCCATCTCTTCAATGGATGTTCCAGGTCACATGAGTAAGTTCTTTTAGGTTAAAATATTAAATAATTTGTTATTAATTGTGGTCCTCACGTAAGCTAGTTTGAAAACTATCATATAAGAACACAAGCAGTAGTAGTGAGAAGCAAAATATGTTTGTGAGGGGGTAAAGGTTGGAGGTGAATCTAGTTTGTTAGAAGCATGCGTGTTGAATAATCTTGAAGGTTGGAGGTGAATCTAGTTTGTTAGAAGCATGCGTGTTGAATAACCTTGAAGGTTGGAGGTGAATCTAGTTTGTTAGGAGCATGCGTGTTGAATAACCTTGAAGGTTGGAGGTGAATCTAGTTTGTTAGGAGCATGCGCGTTGAATAACCTTGAAGGTTGGAGGTGAATCTACTTTGTTAGAAGCATGCGTGTTGAATAACCTTGAAGGTTGGAGGTGAAGCTAGTTTGTTAGGAGCATGCGTGTTGAATAACCTTGAAGGTTCCGGATAAGGTCAAAGGTATATTTGTGGTGAAAAGTTATGTACAGAACTTAGATTAATATCACATTATTCGATGTGATATTAATCTAAGTTCTATACATAACTTTTCACCACAAATATACCTTTGACCTTATCCGGTATTCGATGTGATATTAATCTAAGTTCTATACATAACTTTTCACCACAAATATACCTTTGACCTTATCCGGTATTCGATGTGATATTAATCTAAGTTCAGTACATAACTTTTCACCACAAATATACCTTTTCTCTCTCTGCTTGTTAGTATTTTGTTTTCTAAATATGTAAATTTTTGAGCCCCTAAAATTTTGCGGCGGGTTCTTTGAGTCCTTCGAACCCCCTCTGAGCAGGCCCTGCGTCTCCCTTAACATTTCATCTGGTAGAATCTGTACTTTCTTATACAGTGTATGTAGTGTAACGATTATGCTTTTTAAGATTAAAATGTTAGCAAGCTTTCTATATGCGTTAACTCTTTACATGTTTCGCTCCGATGGCACATTTTAAATAAAAACCAATTTTAATGGACTCAGATATGTATGCAGATATTTAAGGTATAGTTCAGTCTTATCAGTCTTTAACTATTACGATGAAATTTCTTTGTTTGTTTGTAGAATTTCGCACATAGCTACTCGAGGACTATCTGCTCTACCCGTCCCTAACTTAGAAGTGACAGACTAGAAGGAAAACAAACTCTGCCATGCGAGCCCGGGCTAAGCTTATTCCAGCCCGGGTGGTCATGCCAGTCTCAAGCCCTGATGAAAGAGAAAGATTACTGTCATCCGAGTGTAAAGATTCTTGGCTAATACAAAATATGAATCTCCGACTAATTGGAGATGACCATAAGGCTAAAGCGTTCCCTGTAAGCGACGCGCAGCAGTATTCCCCGGCTACTGTGAGAAATGGACGAGAGGTACCTCAGACTCAACGGCTGCGGCTAAAAAAGCAAGTGGAAACAAAGCATAAAAAGGAGTGTATAAGAAAATTTGCAACTTGGAATGCCAAGGAAATTGACAAATTAAGATTCACAAGACACTAGTTGAGCCATTTCTGTTGTATTCAGCGGGGACATAGGCATTGAGAAGGAAAGAAGAAAGTTTGCTGAAAAAGACAGAAATGAGAATGGTACGTTACATGATGGGGTATTCTTAAGGGATGGGACTATGAGTAATGATATTAGAAAGTGGGCTGAGGTGTGTAAGGTAACAGAGAAAGCACGTGAAGCTAGACTGAGGTGGGATGGGCACTTGGAAAGAAGGGGAGAATAAACGAGCGAGAATAATATTTAGAACGCCAATTGAAAGTAGAGGACGTTACAAATTGAGAAGGAAAGATAGGATAAATCAAGGTATGTGATAGGCGGGTGTATTATTGGAGAAGGACTACC